CAAGGAAAGCCATCCYTTTTCCTGACATCTTGATATATCTTGTGATTAATACTAGACGTCTTTTTAAGATAATTAAGAAATACAATGTAGTTCTATACAACAGTATATCTCTTTRTATTTTAGAATAAAATTTTGAACTTTACAAACTAAAATCAGCCATATTCGATTTGAACCTGCAAAGTGTCAGGATGGCAGAGTACATGCATACAGCACAAACAAAGGACTGTCCGTTTAACAAAGGAATGACAGGAATAACTTCATTACTAATTACTTTAACTAAAAGGCAACGATTTGACGAAACAAAGAATGTTTACAACTGGTTTACCTAAATGTTTAGAAAGTGAATGGTTTCTTTTGTTGTTTTTAGAGGAATGAATTAGTGTTTATGAAGTTAGARCGYTTTGCATGATCGCCAACCAATTTCCAGCAAAGTTCTTTGGCGCTGCTGATCCGATTTAATAATTGACTGATTTTGAGTTGAAACATGCACAAAGTACAAGATATCTTTTACTAAAACTATTCTTTTCTATCTAGAACTAATGTGACAAATGTAATTTAAGAAGAGTATTTTGAATTTCGTTTGGTGCTTTTTTTTAGTATTTAAAAATACTACAGCTATTTTATGCTATATGTTATGAACGCAGCTTACTGCAGCATTTCTAAATCTAAGTCAGTAAAAACTGTTCCTGTCCTTTTCAGTCATTAAACGCAAACAGACAAGCAAGTTATATATGTGAATCTAAGTATGTATACAGCTATACCGCATTGAATTTTGAGCGATATGCATGATTTATAACTAAGCTTAAATATAAGCTTAAATCGCGCGCGTTTCAGTTCTTATCGGGATCTCATTGCATGCCAATACCAAACGTTTTGAATTCATGTTTCAACTTACGTATTGAAAAAATAAAGCTACAATCATCGACTCAACTTTATAGTCAGGTATTAATAGAAATCACTGAGCAGCTCAAAATGTATTTCATAAGGCGATATTCTAACTTACCTTCATCTTCAAAACGGGTAACTGTTCTTTTTTCACGTTGATTCATATTCACTTATACAAACGAAAGCAATCTATTAGCGATAAAACAACTAACGCCGTATCAAACAAGCAACAATCGTCAAGCGCGCACTTCTCAACGGTTATGTGTACCTGGTACAGTACTAAGGTTCGTCGCGTACCAGGTACGAAATTCCCGCCAATAATTA